AGTCTCCTGCCTCAGCCTCCCAAGTAGCTGGGACCACAGGCACCCGCCACAACGCCGGCTATTTTTTTGGTTGCAGCTGTCATTGTTTTTGGCGGATCTGGGCTGGATTCGAACCTGCCACCTTAGGTAGGGTGACCAGACTTCCCGCTTTTGAACAATTTGTCCCGCGTCCTGCGGTGTTTTAAAAAAGTCCCGATTTTTGGAAAGAATGCACGAATGGGTGGGAGAACAGTAAGGGAATATACAGTTTTTGGCTGCCATGTGGCTATTTCGCCAGAATATGAGTTTTATATTATTTTTGTTAATTTTATAATGTTAAACTGTAATAATAACAAATAATTGTTGAGAAGTGATTATGGAGAACTGCTTATCAAAGTTTGCATTGTTGTCAGGCCCCGCCCCGCCCCCACCCCAGGTTGTCCCGCTTTACAAATGTTAAAATCTGGTCACCCTAACCTTAGGTGTACCGGCTGGCGCCTTAGCCACTTGAACCACAGGCGCCGAGCTAAGATCTTGATTTTTAAAACATAATTAGGTTCTTTCTCTGTACTGCTTACAATGCCCCATTGGCTTCCTACTGTGCTTACAGTACATCCAAATTCCTCACTGTGGCCCTATGATCTGGCCCCACCCACTTCCCTAGTTTCATCTCCGTTCCTTGGGGACTTGCATTTGCTATTCCTCTGCTGTTCCTGCTTTCTTCTCCTTGGAGAAGAGGTCTTTCTTTCCTGACCATCCAACTGAAAGCCCAAGTCACAATTTTTTCCATTATCATTCATCACTCTCTGATATTTTTTATTTTTTACTTACTTACTTTGTATCTTCCCCCCAACTAGAATAAAAGCCTCACGAGAGCATAGACCTAGTCTATCCCAATCGTGGAACACTGCCTGCCAGCAGGTACCATTAAATGTGTGAATTTTAGTAGTAATAACAGATTTTTAAGAAAGTATAATTTTTTTTTCCTATTTTTCCAAAGAAAAGATATATAGAATCTGTTCATCTGTTTCTGGTAATAGCTCCTCCTCCCCAAGGTGGTAGATTAAGACTCATTCATCTGCCCTTACTCCTGAACCCTAAGTGCTAAGAAGGCAAAGACCTGTTTTAGTCATCATTGGCTACCCCCTAAGATGTTATATAGTACACAGAAGGCACTTGATCATTAACTAGTGAATGAATGAAGTATTAGGTCTCTCTGTCTCTCTCTTTGGGTAAGTTTATCCTGTTCTCTTTCCTTTCCAGCACTTTATTAGGGAAATATATTGTTCTTCTCATACTCATGTTGCTTAAGTAATTTCTCTCCCACTATATCCCAATAAATCATAAGCATGCTGATGGAGAGTTAATTCCCCGTCCATTCACTGATGGCAAAGCCACCAGTCTTCTTCCCCCAGAGCTTACCTCATAGATGACAGTGCACTCCACAGTCTGATTTTCCACTATTCCTACAATCCACTTCTCCATTACAAATGGTGGCTGAAAAACAAAAGTTAGGATGATGGTGTAGTACCATAAAACAGCCTGCTCGGCTGTAATATATTTCTTTGAGGCCAGTAGTGCCATATACGATTGGCAAAATGGGGGCAAAATATCAGATGATCTTGAAAGCCAGGCTGGTTCACGTGTGATCACTCACAACATGTTCGTTTAGGGTTTTGTTTTTCATAGGACATCCTTTTGTGTATCTGTCAACAGCTAGTCCTGATCTGCACAATCTTCTCTTTTATTTTTTATTTTTCAGGAGACAGAGCCTCAAGCTGTCCCCCTGGGTAGAGTGCTGTTGCATCACAGCTCACAGCAACCTCCAACTCCTGGGCTCAAGCAATTCTCTTGCCTCCGCCTCCCAAGTAGGTGGGACTACAGGCGCCTGCCATAACACCCTGGCTATTTTTTTGGTCACAGCTGTTATTGTTGTTTGGTTGCCCTGGGCTGGATTCAAACCAGCCAGCTCAGGTGTATGTGGCTGGTGCTTTAGCCGCTTGAGCCACAGGTGCTGAACCCAATCTTCTCTTTTATAACAGCACTTGCTATCACTCAATCTTATCAGGAGGTCATTAATTCATGCAAAAGTTTGAAGCATCTGCAGAAAGCTTCTCACAATTAAAGAAAGCTGTAAGAATTTAGTAAGACCCAGAAGTACCTTTCTTGAGCACAAGCAGTGGCTTGTTCAGTGGCTTCAAACATTACTCTGCTTGGCTTGGCGCCCATGCTCAATGGTTAGCATGCTGGCCATGTGCACTGGGGCTGGTGGGTTCGGACCCGGCCAGGGCCTGCACAACATAGTGAAACTCTATCTCAAAAAAAACAAAACAAACAAACAAACCAAAAATCACTCTGCTCTCTACTGTCGCAGGCTATCTGGCAAAGCTACACATACAAATGAAGAAACTGGGGCAATATTTCCCCACTGTATTAAAACAAAGGATTAGGGTGGCACCTGTGGCTCAAAGGAGTAGGGTGCGGGCCCCATATGCCAGAGGTGGCAGGTTCAAACCCAGCCCCGGCCCAAAACTGCAAAAACAAAACAAAACAAAGAATTAGTGAAGAATCCTAGATCTTAAATCCTATTTGAATTTTGAGGAAAACAGCCTCTGTGAAGAAGAACACTA